CACTACCGCTACGCAGTGTTGTCACTTGGACGTAAATCCAGCAATTTGATTGGTTGGGATAAGTGTTCTGACCAATCAAATTTCTGGATTTACGTCCAAGTGACAACACTGCACTGCCGCTACGTATCGCTATTTCTGTAAACAAGTTTGGTTTCTTTGTGCATTACGATTATACCTACGTAATTATTAAAAATCTAAAATGAAGATAACGATAAATAAAAATTGGTTTAAATATCTCGAAAATAGCGAAACAAAATTTATGATAATTGCTCTTTGCCATTTGGGCATCTTTTTTATAAAAGATTCTAACTATTCATGGAATCGTATGGATTTATTCCTCGATTTTATATTGTGTTTTTTAGTTATCAGTTCAGCTTTCGTTACGGTAATTCATTTTTGGTTTATTATATATCTAAGTAAAAAAAATATATATATTTACTAATTTCTCATCCATTGTTTTTATAAAGATATGGACAAAAACAATTGTAAATGTTCTTATTTTTTGCCTCATAAATATATCTCCTACCATCGTATGGGTTTCAACTGAAGCATATATAAGAAAACTTTGTGACAGAGGAGGCATATGTCTGAAGCAAACCATTTCTATCACTATTCGTATTATATTTCTTGTTTCTGTGGAAGGTTTAGGACTAATATCGATTGCGCATTTATGCTATTCAAAGTGAGGTTTTTTACCTGTTTAATATTTTTTGTACTCGTTATAGTTTTAATTACTCATATTACAATTATTCAATTAGGAAATATCCGTTTGTGCAAGAGTTTAATTATAGTCGTCGCCGTGAAGTCAAGAGTATGTTTATTATGATGCATAATTCATTAACAGTATCATTCGTTAACAGATTATTTTGAAATGTGATTTTAGGATATCATACAATATATTCATATCAATTATCATTGCTTTACGGGACAACATTGTTGCTTGCTTTATTTTTCTACAGTTTTTGGAGTGTACAAATATGGTTAAGCTCTTTTAGTATAACATCTCAAGGAAACACATTAGCAACCTTTATTCCTTATCCTATGATATTGTTGCCCTTTTATCCTCCAATAAGTATCACCGGTGTAAGCATTTAAATGAATTTTTATTTCTTTTATTTGTTTTGATAAAGCAATTAAGTATTGATAAATTTTTAATAGATCCGGCGTGAAAAATTTTGGTTAATGTTTTTATCATACCTTTCGAACATTGGTTATATATGCACGATTATATATGACATTAAGATTTTGTGTGTACAAAGTTTCGAACATCCCGGAGTAAGAGGATCAACATGTCTATTTAGAGATAGGCTTATGATTGATCCTATATTTCAAGCTTTTTTTGGAGGTGGTAAAGTATCTTTTTTTAATATTCTCAGAACTCTATTAACATTTGAAGAATTTAAGCTCATTTCTAAAAATTAATATTCTATATTGATATGTTTAGGATCATTTCTCATTTTATTGATAACTTTGCTGACATTTAACACTACACGATGTCATCGCAATTTTGGGAAGAATATGGATTTTTATTGTGAGTAAAAATTCTTTAATCGTAATTTTAATTTCAAGATAAAAATTTCTTCTGAGCTTCTATTTTATGATATTGCAGTTAATTATGTGCAATACTCTCATGTTTTTGACTATGAAGACGATCATTCTAACCAAAGGAGAGGGAAACTGGATAAGTTTTTTTCAAATTTCTATAAAATATTTTGATATTTCCATTAAATGTATTATGAAAATATCGATATAGTACGGGATTATACTTGAATAAATTAATAACGATATCGATATGTATTAGTATCATTTCAACATATCAAAATTAATTTTTTAAAACCATAAATACATCAATAATTATACATAACGATATATATACCACTCTGATTGTAAACCTCTATAACATCGAGATGTACGAATGCACAAGAGGCTTTGCTAATCTTGATTCTTCATGTAATCGCATGATATGCACCTTGTATGCGACAACTATAATGGAGTGCGACCTAATTTACTAAATAATGTTCCCGGATGTTGCAAAGTTATTATTGAAAAATGTTGAGAAAACAGACCAACTGAAATACTTTATCCACTATCTGATGAGTTCATTAAGTGAGTGTGAGAACTAAATACATGTAATTTGCATTTTAGTACTACAGCTCTTTAGAATATCCTAGAGCACGTGAAGAAATTTAAGAGTGTTTTAAACTAGAAAAGCAAAAATTTGATGAGAAGGTGAAAAGCGTTCCTGCAAATATGAACAAAAACAACAAATCCACTCCAATGCAGTTTACACCAGTCGAATCTTTACCACAAAATTAATTTTAATTCCAAATGATTTTATCTATAAATATAATCATATTAACATTACATATTATCGAAAGTTTAGGGTTGACAAGTGTCAGTTTGTATATTCCAAACGAATTTCTTTTAATGCATCACTACTTTTTCTTGGTAGTGCAAAACAAGTTTAGATGAAATTAACGAGAATGAATGAAGATATAGAATAACTACAACTTCATGATGAAACACTTCCAAAATCATGTTCGTTATTAGGTGAAACTGATAAGTATTAAATTATATATGCGTTATAGAATCACATTAAAGGATAAAAATTATATATATTTTTTAATTTGTTAGCATCAAAAGACAGAGATATTGAAGGTAATCATTGAATCGATATCGATATAACTGTGCTGTGCTTTAACAAGCACAGTCACCAAATATCAATGTTAATAAACTTAAATTTTGATACAAAGTAATGGTTAAGTTACTCTTTTTAAATTTACTTCATTGTGTATCTAAGTGTAAAGAATCTTGCATAACAAAAAATGCGATAATTTCATTTTATGGTTTTTTGGATTCTAACAAATTGCATACCTTACATTAATTTTTATTTATACGAACTTGTCATCGTTTACTTGCTATGTTTATTAATACTCAATGTATAATTCATTAATACTATCGTTATTTCCTGCTAAAAAAGAATTGTCATCATAATTTGTTGAGATACTTGGAATAAAGACGAATAATAATACTTTTCGATTCATACATACGAATGGCATTGAGCAATAAAATTAGCTTATCGAGATCTAATTCATTGGAACGCTTCACACTACATAAATGCTCTTTAACATAAAGATATCAACAGCACAAACAGAATTTCTATTACTGTTAGGATTTTACACATTAATCATAACCATGAGTATTAGAATCCATTTTTGAGTTTGGTGTTTTAATTAAAACTTTGAAATGATGGTAAAATAAAAATGATTTATCTGTGTTGTTATTCTTCTGTCTGTGTTTGAAAAACAACACAGGAATACATTGTGGACCAATAATTCAGACGTACATATATGCGATCAAATTTGAAAAGACGAGTCATTTATCGTTATTGTGTGGAAAATCGATATTGTTATGTTCCGCAATTCTAAACTTTCCTCAGAATACTTATCTTCCTTAGTCAAAGGAGCTAAGGTGATTATCGAGGTTTCTTGTTTCATTCAAGGCAAAAGTATTTAAACCCAAGAAAAATAAGACAGAACGCATAAAATTAAAGATGCCATTTATGAATTCTATTTGTGTGTAAATAATAAAAGGTTCTTCTTTTAATGCATGTTATAGGCGTAATGCGTGTGGCATTTTCATACGAAATTCTTACGCATAATACGTTAAGATAAATAAATAAATTTTGATAAAAAAGTAAAACTGCTGCTTTTGGTTGTTGTTGTGCTTTAACTCGAGACCAGTCAATAAAAAGATATAATTATTGTTGCAGTTAATAAAGTATATATATTATTTTACTTTGTTGGAAGTGTTTCATCATGAATCTGTAGTTTTTCTTGCAAGTCAATCGATATCTTTTCATTCTCTTTGATTTCATGTGGTATACTAAAATCGAAATCTGTTTTTCACACAAAGAAAAAATAATAATGAATAAAGAAATTAATGAAAAAAATAATAAATGTTATTTTACCTTCGTTTGGAACAAACAGACTGACACTTGACATTCCTATACACTTGAGGTGAATTTTAATTACTGTAAAATGCTAATATGACTTATATTTCAAAATAAAAGTACCTGTCTCAGTTGGAATTGAAATTAGTTTTATGGTAAAGATTCGACTGGTGTAAACTGCATTGGAGTGGATTTTTTGTTTTTTATTCGTATTTGTAGGAACACTTTTTGGACCTTTCATTTCCTCACATTTCTGCTTTTCTAGTTTGAGACACTCAATAATTTCTTCATTTGTCTTAGGATATTCTAAAGAGCTGTAGTACTGAAAATGCAAATTATTTGGTTCCCACACCCACTTAATGAACTCATCAGTTTTGTGGATAGAGTGAATAAAGTATTTAAGATCCTCAGCAATTGGTCTGTTTTCTGGAATAGGATCCCAACATTGTTCAATAATAAATTTGCACCATCCGGGAACATTATTTGGTATCGTAGGTCGTACTCCATTATAAATGTCGTATACAAGATGTATATCATGGCTCCAACCACCATCTTCAGCATGTTAATAATTAAAAATGAAATAAATGTATTTACAATTTTTATTCTATTTAACTTCGAGATTTGCTGGCCAACTATTAGAAGAAATGCAAGTCTCAATTCGGTCTGGCATACTCTTAATTAATTTATAAGGTATTTCATATAGAACATTATTTTCATTAGTGAGAACGTAATTTCAAGTTTATTCTCACAATTGCCTCATCAAACTCTGTTAATTTGGTATTTTTAGTTAAAAAACACAATCGTTTGTTTTGATCAGTAAAAACGATGCCATATCGTTCGTTATATTTATTGTTAAAAATGAACAAATTTATCTTTTATCTAGTCAGTGCTAGTACATAATATTTTTGCTAAAATAAATTGCCTGAATAATATTCCTTTATGCTGGCGCTTTCAATACTAAAAGGAGTTTATACAAAATAATGTATATAAATTTAATATTATATCCAATTTATTTATAGAAGTCTTTTGTACATGTATTTAGAAAGTCCTAAACTGGGCATATGCCCGACACATCGCAAGATTGTCCAAACAGGCTTACCCACCATGAAGTTTCACTGATTAGCAGGGCTAAAACGAATAATAGCATTGCTACTATCACACCGAAAACGGTAAACCAAATATGAACTATATGATCAAAAGTCTTGTTTTTTTCTTCTACCCAATGGTGTATGTATGCAACAAGATTGTTTAATGACCATATAGAACAAAGTACTGCGAGATATTTGCTGCGGCAATAAAAACCAATCGGTGGTGTTAAGTAGGCTAGGAATACCGAGATCCAAGGAACAGTAATTGATGCTAAAGCCGTGAGCACAACACGGATATGTGTTTGTAGTTCATTGTCATTGTCGTCATTTTTTATCACATATATTTTGTTGTTTTTTAACTTCATTTCAGGATCCTTCACCAAGAGCCGCCCATGAACTGATCTTCTATAGATCGCTGGCAATGTCCAACAGAACGCCAATGGTATATATGGCCAATCTTCACAAATGATTGGCCCGATCAACCGCATGATTCCGGAAATTATGCCGATCAATATATAGTATGCCAACGTCAGCGAAGATAATCTTTCCAGCACAGAGGCATTTGCCACGCATTCTTCTTCCAGTATTTCTAGCACGGTTTTATTTGACTCGGCTAGTTCTTTAAATGTTTCTCGAACGAATTTATTTGACTCGGTTTGTTCAATAAATTTCGCGATATTTCCAGGCCTAATTATCGTCATAGCGTGGTGTCCAACCGGTTTATAAGGGATTTGTGTTTTAACTAACTCCTTTAATTCAATTTTTACCTCCATAAAATGACATTTGCGGAGCCAGTATGTTGTTATTTCATCATTCTTTACGTTGCAGGTATAGAATAACCCTATAAATGGGCAGCTAAGACATTGTGCTACCCGTATTAACTTATCTATAAAATTAGTTTTAGGTGCAGCACCTGCTGTCAAGACGGCTGGGATAATACTTAAAATGTATTGAGGTACGGGATTTAGTGATGTATTTATTACTTTTGATACTGGAACTTCGATTGTTGCCATCGATGCTAATCTTTCAATTACCAAAATCGAAAAATGATTATATATTCAGAAAATTAGCTAATATTTTTAGCAACTAAAAAAATAAAATTACTTAGAAATGATACAAATGTATTGTAAATTCTAATACAATTTACACTTTTCTATTGCACTCAGCCCATATATATATCAAAAATTATGTCACCCAAACTAATTTGAAATTACAAACAATGAAACATAGAAATTTGTCTTGGGTTATATTTGTATTAAAAATAACTTAAATGAAATTTGAATTTAGTCAATCATTTGCATTCGGACCGTTTAAATTACACAGAAAATATCGTAACATAACGCAATAGCAAAATCTTGAAAAACAACACATCTACGTATCTCGCCAAGCTAATCGGAAAAGATTTACCGGACGTGCAACAGAAAAAACAAAACTTTGATGGTATTTTTGTAATTGTAGATGCTTAATTTTCGAAAATAGAAAGAATAGATTCAATAAATATTTTATGGAAAGCAATTAATAAATATTTCACATTATCGAAATCACGATCATGTTTTTTACACCATCAATATCTTTTTTTAGATTTTTATAAATGAGATTTAAATATAACTACGATAAAATTCTATAGCGATTCAGCATCGTGTATCACGTATATATGTACTTTTGTAAGATCTATAATTGATCAGGATTGAAATCTCCGAGTCTTACAAAATACATGTATATACATGTACATGTAGTTTACTTACTTTTGATGCAACGCTCCACAACATCAGATGCATCACAATGGTTGATTATATATGTACATGTTTGGCTAGTAGAAATCGACATGCACATGTACATAACAACAATAGCGATACAAAAATTCTGCCATATTGATAATGGTAAATACTCGACCTTTCCCAGTTAAGTTAATTGTTTCTTCCGTGACATTATTCCCATGCACGACTAATATAGCAAAATCCACAAAAATAGTAACATGTATTAGGAGGTAAAAACTCAATATTGATATTAGATAATTGTATTGATGTTATGAGTCTTATGTCATAAGGTACGTACTATACATTAAGAACCAAAAATAAATCCCACACCCATTCTGATAATACTAGGCTGGAAGGGTATATTCTGGAATTCTCTAAGACAATGTGGATGAATAATTAGGCAATTTTTTTTTCATATAACATTTGCTATTGCTAATAAAGAAATTCATTCCTTGATTTTTTGTTTGAATATTTCATCGCTATTAAACACATTTTTGAATCATAATCTTCATAGTCTTTGAAGGTTTTATGTATTGAGGAATCCTATTGATACTATCTGATTCGCCACATTTTTTATACGACTTTAAATCATTTCTTTTTGACCTAACCAATAGAATCTTAAACATTGTCATTAACTGCAGAGCTTTTTATATTAATAATTATCATTTAAGCTAGATAATTCCGAGCTAATATATTTTCCACCCAAATTTTTATTGCCTCTTTCACATCGTCAAAAGTTGTTTTCGATTGAATTTTGATCTGGATAATGCTGTACCTTGTTCAATTTAGCCGCTGATATTTTGCTTTAACAAGCTCTGAAACTGATTGTTTAATAATAACAATACCTTTTGGTTTAAATTTTATTAGCTGCCAAGTGCTCACAAATTTCTTTTTTTCTGTTAATAAACACAAGTTTTTTTTAGCCTTTTCTGTTATACACTCGGTGGACAAAAGTTTACAATCAGGAAATGATCGACATAAATTTGGTATTTTTCTATTGTACTACGAAGCAAGTGTCCAATTGTAACGTAATTTAGCTCGTTCGAAAGCTGAGTTTTTTCT